CACAACATTAGTACATTCCACATTCTTGATTTGGCAAGGTTTCTAAAAACTTTTCTGTAGGTTAATCATGTTTTCAGCAAAATCTTGTAGCTCATTTTTTTTTTAATGTAAGTTACCTTTATTCTTAATAGACATTAGCACCTGCTTAAGCTACGAAAACAGGTGCTGGTCCATTAGCCCAAACGCAGCATCACTTCTGTCCCGGGGCAGGAGAGCTTTTCTGTCACACACATCTGTCCTATTTTCCATTTTTCCATCTCCATCAAGCAGTGGGTCTATATAATGGCGAGATTGCATTTGCATGGATTGCATCGACTCGTGGTTAAAGCACTACTACTGTTCAGCTTCTTTGTAAGAGCTATAAACAATATTATTTTCAGCTTATCCCTCCTTGTCTGCATCCCTGTAACACATCAGCCTTCCACCAGACTGTGACCCACAAACTGAGGATCTCTGAGTTAAAGCACTAAAAATCAGAAGAAAGCAAAGAATTTAGGACAAGACATAAAACTTTTTCAGTGTTTGGGAGTGATTGTAACTGTGGTTCTGATACATCCAGTGAGGTGGGCCATTCCACGCAGCCTTATGTTGAGGTTACAGGACACTTCAGATTATAATTTGGTTTACTGTGTTTATCATGTTGCCAGACCTAACATCTTTTATATTCCTCAATATAGTAAAAGTTGAGATGCAGATTTTAACCAAAGTAGCTCTACTTGTTGAAAAATACTCTAGTGTCTGGTGCATTTTTAGATTTAGTCTTAAAGAAAATCTTTTATCTCTGTGCTTTGCATCAAGGATTTCAAAGAGACAGCCTCTCAAAGATACTTTCTATAGTTATGCATTTAATACATAAGAACCAGAATGACAACAGCATCATCTGATAAAAATAAAACTTAAGAGAACAGGTTCATTAAGGACTAAAAACCGAACCAGAGTCACAGAATCCCAGAATGGGATTGGAATGAGGTTGGAAGGGACCTCTAGAGATCATCCAGTCCAACCCCCTGCTCCAGCAGGGACACCCAGAGCACAGGGCACAGGGCGGCATCCAGGCGGGTTGGGAAGATCTCCAGAGAAGGAGACTCCACAGCCTCCCTGGGCAGCCTGTGCCAGGGCTCTGGCACCCTCACAGGGAAGAAGTTCCTCCTCACACGGAGATGGAAATTCTCATGTTTCAACTTGTACCCATTGCCCCTTGTCCTGTCAGTGGCCACCACAGAGAACAGTTTGGCTCATCCTGCCTATATCCTCCCCTCAGGTTTTTGTACATATTGGTAAGATCTCTTCTCCAGACTAAACAAGCCCAGCTCACTTAGTCTTTCCTCATACGAGAGATGCTCCAGTCCCTTAATCATCTTTGTCACTTTAGACTGGACCCTCTYKAGAAGCTCCACATCCCTCTTATACTGGGGAGCCCAGAACTGCACACAGTACTCCAGGTGCAGCCTCACCAGAGCTGAGTAGAGGGGCAGGATCCCTTCCCTCCACCTGCATCAACACTCCTGCTGATGCAGCCAGGATCCCATTGGCCTTCTTGGCCATGAGGGTACTGCTGGCTCACGGTTAACTTGGTGTTCACCAGGACTCCCAGGTCCCTCTCCACGGAGCTGCTCTCCAGCAGGTCCACCTCGAATCTGTCCTGGTACCTGGGGTTATTCTTCAACCTCATGAGGTTCCTCTCTGCCCAACTCCCCAGCCTGTCTAGGTCCCTCTGAATGGAGCACAGTCCTCTGGAGCAWCGGCCACTCCACCCAGTTTGGTRTCATCTCCAAACTTGCTAAAACAGAACAACGTTATCAAATGTACTTGTTTGTTAAATACAAAGTCACTATTAACTTTGTTTCCTATATAAACTTCACTGTAATCATGTATTTACAAATTTCATATAATGACAAGAGAATGGGCAGGTCACTGAACACATGTGACTGTAGAAATGTATTTACTTGCTTAATAGCTAGAACCAAAATTATTATTTTTCAATAACAATTAAAATTGAAGTCTTCAACCTAAAATAAAAAACACACTTCTAAGGCTAGAATTAGATTTAATTCCATTGCTGAATCCAGATGAAACTAAGGCATGACTGCTGAAATAGCACTGCGGTCAAATTCTGTTCAAATTTGGACAACTTGTAAGACTTCTAACAAAAACGGAGTTGACAGAGTCAGCAATAAACTGATTAAATCTTAGCAGCTGCAGCTTTCTGAGGTTCCATCTGTTCTGTGCCCGTGCCAGCCTGGGACCGTGCCAGACGCGAGCCCTGGGACTGTCTTCTGTATCGTCAGCGACAGGCAGCCCTGCTGGGCCCTGTCAGCAAAGAAGCTGCTCCTGTTTGAACGCGGAGGGGACCAACTTGGAACTGGGTCGGGTAAGATTAATACAGAGAGCCTGATGAAGGGAAACTGAGAGAGCTGGGGCAAGAAGAAGAGAAAATATGGAGGAGAAAGGCATTATGCAGTAAGTAGTAGCACTAGGGTAAACTGAAAGCATCAACTTTTGGAAGATCTGTCAAAAAAGTGAAAACTGAACACAAAAGGAAGGCAAGAAAGAGTTGAAGAAACAATATCCAAAATATACAAAAAAAAAAAGAGAAGCAATGAAGAAACCTGCCAGAGAAACTGAGAAGATGACAGATGATCAAGTTATACAAGGAGCACTCCAAAGACAATTTCCCTGCTATGGTCTCCGTGTAAATATTTTCCTTGGTGTTTATCATGGAAAAAAACATGGGAAACTTGGTGCTGCATCAGAGCACTTCTTTATGGAAGACTCATCAGAGGATCTGTTTCAACAGAAGGGTTGGGTAGAAGAACAAACCAACAGCAGCGAGTTAGCAGCAGGTATTGAATCCTTGAGCTCTGATGGAGCTACTGAAGGTGTTGAAGATACAATAGCTAAACCACTGCATATAGCCAGCTTGTATATAGCTTATCACTTAAAACCACCCTAGTACCAGAGGCTTTTCCAGGGGTGAACATCACCAACATTAAAAGGTTTCTAGGATAGACCAGAGAACTACAAACCAGGAAGCTGGATACAGGTGCTGAATAAAGCGATGCTAGTAAGCCTAAGTAAAGAAATTAGTGAGTATTTACCATATAGGGGGGAAGAGTCGCCAGGGCACTGGTAAAATCAACACACACTTTACAAATCTAATACAGCTCTTTGAATTAAAAAAAARAAATACAGGTAAAAAATGTAGTTCATAGTCAATTAAACTTCTAATAGACATTCCTCAAAGATTCTCGAAGAAATTAAGTTGCATTGGAGTAAAAAGAGAGTATTTCCCTAGATAAATAATTGGTAAAAAGTCAGGAAACAACAGGTAGGACTTAATGGTCAGTTTTTGCAGGAAATCAAGGTCCCCCAAAAGAGCTCCAGAGGAGACCTCCCAGGAACATGTGTTTTTTAAAATATTTATAGGGATACTGGAAAAAGGTGGTTAGATAACGGGGATGAGAATGTCCACAAATACTATTCTGAGGAGAAAAGGTGAGGACCAACTCTGAAAACATGCAGGGCTTCTCCACTGGGAGACGCTGGGAAGTAACTGCGAGATGAAATCCAGCATGTGTAAGCACAAAGTGAGACAAAAAGGTAAAAATGCTTCTAAATTTCATATGCATCAGCCTATGAGCTGTCTATTATCACTTATGTAAAACTCCAAGATGTTGAAATTGCAATAGATCAAAAAAATCAATACAGTTCTCAGAAGGGCATAAACAGGTCAACAGAGTATCAGGAATTTTCAGAGAAACAACAATAATAAAAACAACTAGAGAATAGATCAAAAACCACCATTATACTGCTCTGTAGCGACATGATTTACCCAAATCTTGAGCATACTCTTCAATTCTGTTTCCTCATCTCAAATAAAACAAACTGGGAAAAAATGTATGGAATGTAACTGAACGTCTTCTAACTAAATAAAACAGAATTCTTCAGCCCGGAGAAGAGCCAGCTGAGAGGAGCTATGCTATATATCTCTCTCTTCCCTACGGTCTTCCCAGCTACATGAAGAGGACACAGTCATTCCCTGTCTCTTCCTGTGGAAAACCTTGGTGAAACGGCCTGGAAATGGGTGTCAAACGCCAGGTTTGACTCACAAATGAAGCTCGAGCATTTTTTGCCACTGGCCAGAGCATTTTTTGCCACTGGCCATTCTGAACGTTAGGTGCTTATGCAAAGAACAGAAGAGTGTGGACAAAACCCCCTAACAAAATGCAGCCAAACTCGTTAAACTCAGCAATGCCCCCTCCAGTTCAGGCACCCCACTGATGATATAGAAAGCTTCACTATGTGCTTGCCCTGTTCCTACTCTTTTCTCACGTAGGCGTCTCTGTCCCAGACAAGAAGTGGGGATAAATACATCTGTGACCCCATACACACAGTACTGGCTTTTAACATGCTTTAGGTAACAGCAGAGACTAAGAAATAAGACAAAGTACAGCTAAAACGGGCATGAAAGGACAGAGAGAGATTTGCAGGAGGGGACAAGATAGGACTGGGCAGAAAAAGACACTTTTTTTCTCACATCTTTGTTTTATTAACTGCAGAAGCTGAAAAAGATGCACAAGGGATGAGACAAGTGACTGCAGGGAAGAGAATGAAGGATGACATGATTAAAGAAGCAGAGTACTATTTGGAAGAATTTAACTGTACATTCCCTACCTACAAAAACCTACATAGTATGATGTGAAAGCAGCAGGAACCACGCTTGCAAGCAGTCACTAGCTGATCACACAAAAATCTAGGGATCCTGATTTGAAAAAAAAAATGATTAAAAGTTATCTCCAACTGCATGCTCCAAATCCAAAGGTATTTTTCATTTCCATCTCCAGGCCTTTTTATTTTAGTAATGTGACAAATCCCAGTTTTCATGTTTGTATATAATGTATAACTTTCTGCTAAGGAGGATATAGAAGAAGGTAGCAAGAGTTTAAAAACTGAGTTATATATATATATATACATATGCATCAAAGGAAGTAAGATCTCACCTGTAATAAGTATGAGCCAGCTGCCTCTGCACTGGAGCTCTCATTCTGTATTGTGTTCTGTTGGGTAAGGGCATCTTCCCTCTTTCGTTCCTTCTGTCCTGCTTCGTCATCTTCATATTCATCTAGGCTCTAAAATCAAAAACATTCAGTTACAAAACTGCATTTTTATTTTAATTTGATGCTTCGCCTATTCAAACACCTATTCAAACAAAATTCATCCATCAGTGAATTAATATTTCCAACGATTAATTTTATATTTCAGAAATGTTTAGTTAAGTCTTTGTTTTCTGATAAAGTACAGGTATATAGTCTCATAGCTGCTGGCTTTTTCTTAAGCACAGGAAAACCCCTTGAAATCAAGATCCACCTGGACAAAGCCCTGAGCAACAAGGTTCAGCACCCCACTTAGTTCAGCACTAAGCCTGCACAGTGCCAGAGCCAGCATTGCCTTGAAGGGCCCTTCCCTTTGAATGATGCTAAGGTCCCATGTGATTCCAAAATCCAAGGTGCCAGGGCAATCTCATCTCTAACAAGCAATATTTTTAGCTCCATGTAGTAGAATTAGTGTAAGCACAGAAAGGAAGGAAGTTAATATCACTCTTAACTCAATAGTTGACCACCTTTTTTGACCCAGTGGCATCTGCTGAGACAAAACAACTGTTTTCTAATGATCCATTGACTCACTCTAGGACCCAATCTTTAAATCAATATTCTCCATCTTTTATACACAGTAAAGGCAGTATTCTCATTTATCACATTATCCCAATAACCCACTCTGAAACAACGAAATAAAAAACTGAAAATCTAAGATTCTGCTGCAAGAAGTGCATTGATATTTGGCTCTTACGAAGTCAGACTTTTCCAAAAAGAACTACAAGGCTCACAAAAGATACCTCACAAAAATTAAGAAAATGTCACGTAGGTTGGGGATGAATTAAATTCTATTAGAGAGAGAGAGAGAAAAAAAAAAAGCCCTTGGGGATTGTTCTTCCCATCTCCATGATGTTCACATAACACAACGAAGGTCTCAGATCACTCAAAGGAGAGACACTGTTTGACAGGAGTTAGGAAAAGCTGCTGCTAATAACTTTAGGGAAAAGTAGCTGGAAAAAATAGAGAGCAACAATTTTCAGAGACTTCAAGTAAGTTTTGCATTTGCAAGGATCAGCAGCTTTAAAGGAAAGTGTAAAGCTCAAAGTTTAACACTTTGTACCTGTACAAAGGTACAGAACCAAAGTCTTCTTTTTAAGAAGCAGACAAGATGCATCTTAATTCCCACATTCTCATCTTCAGATGCACACTCTCATTTGTTTCCTACAGACCACCAACTTTTCACAGAAATATTATTTCTATGCATACTTCTGTGAGGCAGAATAATTTTCTATCTTTGACATAAGATCACCTGCTACTAACACATGTAGATGTTTTGGACAGATGTGAAGTGACATTATCTGATACGACATTTCTTCCATCTTAATGCAGGATTACTTCCAGAACACAAAACAACCCCTTAAATTCAATAACCGGTTACACAGTACTCCACAACAACTTCAGTGAGTTTGTAATCTTAGCACTACTTAAATTATAGGGCTGGGTTTAGAGTTATAAAAATCAATGAAGGGACAAGTTTCCATTGACAATTTTTAAACGCTGCTTAAAAAATTAACATGAAGAACGTGCTGGTAGACACTTCAAAAGATGTTTTGTTCAAATTATCCTGCAAGGGAGACTGCCTCAACCCAGATGACATTTCAGTTGTCTGGACTATCGCTTTGTGGACGTTCAGGCCTGCTCTCAAATACGTCAACTAGTTTCATGTTTTTGAAGAAATACAAACACAGTAGTTATTTTCTCTGTCCACAGTATCCAAAGTCCATCCAAAATGGACTTGTAACCACTGAGCAGCACCTCTGACATGTTACATAATCTGTCCATTGCCTTCCCTCTGGGTTCTCTATTTTGCTGCTAGGCACTTCATACCCTTATTTACCATTTAAATCAGCTGAGCTGCTGCACAGCACATATTCAATGTGACATTCCCACATCTGATCTTAATATAAGGAATCCACAGAAATTCTTTAGGTTTTCTAGCGTTTCAGCAAATGTTTGAAGCCACAGTATAAACATTTTTCTGTAAACCTCTAGTATGGAAAAAACAAGCAGGATAAGATGCTTTCAGAATACGGAGAATGATGAAGGAAACAGCCACAGCAGAGATCTCCCTGCATTCCAGCACACCACCAACCCACAGTTTAAGGAGACACTGAACATTTTTCATGTCTCCTTAAAAATGAAGAGACATTAAAGACGTTAAGAACATTTATAATAATTCACTGGGTCGCCTCCTGTAAGTATGTGTGCACTGCTGAGAATGAAAAAAAAAAGGGAAGGGAAGAGGGTGCCTTTTCCCCAAAAGCAAGCAGTAAATTCTGCTAAATGTGAAAGCAGAGTTTCTAAATGCAGCTCCTCAAGAAACTTCTGCTGGTCCAAACCTCTTCCTGGAGACCACCAGCCTCTTCTCTGCATCCTCTTGTATTTGGCTCGCAGTTCTGCGGGCAGAGCAGATACTACGAGCTTCCCAATTCACATCAGTCACTTTAGTTTCAACGGCTTCAATGAGCCCAAGTTTTTGGTGTTTTTTGGTCATTTTTTGGCCTGCAACAGAGGCCATCTGAACTGGCCATTTTGCAGAAGCCTGGGGACGGCCGCCCTCAGCTTTTGGAGCACGGTGAGCACTTGTGATACAGCCTATTCAACCAGCACGGCAGGACGTGCAAGGAGGTTTGCACTTCCAGCCCAACTCGATCAGTCTGTGTCCAACATTGGACAAAGAAACAGGAATCTCCACTACTTGGTATTTCGATATTCCTTTAGCTTCTTAAACTTGCTGACAATTTAGGAGAGAAAATAAACCTCATCTTCTTCCCTCTGTCCCCAAACTTTTTAGAACAATTAAAAAAATAATCAATTCTACAGTAAGGACATTTCTATATTTATTGAATATTTTAAACACACTATATATACATATGTATATGCCTATATAAATATGTATATGTCTGTATATTTAAATATATATATATTACAGCTTGGTAATATTTAAGATGATGGAAATATCCTGAAATTCTGAGAAATTTTCATAGTAAAAATCAGGACAAGAAGTAAGAACTTCTTTTTATTCTGAACAAAAATCAGCAAACCATTAACTACAATGAAATGCCCTTCAGGAATCAGCACTACTTATCCCTCTAGTGATCACTCCAAAATGCTTTAAAAAGTTATCTACAAATAAGGGCAGAGCATTTTACACAATGTTCCTTAATAATCACTTTTCCTAGTGCAGTGCTGAGAACCAAATGCTTTTTGTCTTTATCACACATGCCTCTGGGACCTGTCAAATCCTGTTTTCCTACATGTTTGGAAGGGACCTTGAGCAGGTACACGGCCAAACCTTTCCATACCCACCCTCTCCAAAGCACATACATCATACACGAGGGAAAATCCCAAACCAACGCTACCTTTCCCCTTCAGAAACAGCATTTTTTTAAATCAGACTTATGTCTAAACAGTGCCCCACATATTTAAGTAAAATGGGTTTGCAGTAATATAAAGTAGTTCTTTTTAGTAGTAGTTCTTTTTAGAGTAGTTCTACTGTTCTCATGGTAAGTGGAAAAATGACTTATTTGTCATTACACAAGGCTTCCACATGGTCTGGCTTGCTTTCCTTCACAAGCTGAAGAACATCCTTAGAGAGGTGAAAAGCGCTAATGTCAGCCACGTTAGAACTTCACASAATCACASAATCACAGAATGGCTGAKGTTGGAAGGGACCTCTAGAGATCATTTAGTCCAACCTTCCTGCTCAAGCAGGCACACCCAGAGCACGGGGCACAAGGTGGCATCCAGGCGGGTTTGGAAGATCTCCAGAGAAGGAGACTCCACAGCCTCCCTGGGCAGCCTGTGCCAGGGCTCTG